TTGAGGTTGAGCGGCGGGGCGGGCGGAGGCGGACGGACGTGACGACTCGCCGGGAAACGGGAAATGGATATGCGATTTAGAAATTTGGGACAGCGATGGTTACTCACTTGTGTTGAAGTTATTAATAACGTAATGTCGACCGTAGATGTGGAGGTGCTTGTTTGTACGTACTCGATACATCCGTATTTACTCACGTATATCTCCGTATTTAATTTTACATGGCTTCGCAATCTCCTCTTGTCCATGTCCATCGGCGCAAAAGAAACCCCACCTCGCCCATGGCCGTACAAGGTTATGGCTTGTGTTTGCGGTTTCTCAACGCCCAATTGTCTTAAGATTACCGCACAACTCTTTCGAAAAAAAGAGACTTACACATAACATGTTTGCATCCATCGATCATGGCTGAAATTTAGGGTGGTCGTTTTTTCAGACGTCTGAAACCAAAGGTGGTCGTTGGTCAGTGTGTGGTGGAAAATCCCCGCATTATTCGTGTGCTCGTAAATGTTGACTCAATATCTCCACATTTAATTCATGTATGCCCCCGCGATCACCTATTTTATGATCCGAAAAATCCGCTCTTTTAAGCCCGATATGAAGATTCTTGTCCAAGATCATTGGGCATTTCAGCCGCCCTATCGTCTTGATTAATGCACATAAGTCATCGTATTCTTGTAGTTATGTATACTTAACCACTTCATTGTCCGTGAACTCGGCATAACTCAGAGGTTTAGTTTTGTTGTGTTGGAAGCAGCCAACATCGGTTCAAGTCCTAGATTTGGCATGGATGGTCACATTTTTTTAGGTTTACTAGATCAATAATGGCGCGCGTTGCCGCGCCCATCTATTTTGACAATATATTGATAGTAAGTTCCATAAGTATATAAGGAAGCCCTTTGATCGCTAAATTTGAAGGTAAAGTCATTTTTATCAAGAAAAATGATTACTCATTAGGCATTAAAATAATTGGCATCACTTACCAAAATGTCAACAGACAAAGGCAAAAGAAAAGCAAACATATTTTCTCATAAGTGGAGTCATGACAAAATTTAGAGGTTATGAGAAAATGATTATCTCAAGAAAGCGTTCCTACCGCCAACTAAAAAGAAAGCAAAGAACATTACATCACAAGCTCTTGTTCTTATATTCCCACATCATTTATGTTTTTGCAGATAGGCAGTGCAAAAGAAAATGTTAATCTAGTCAACATCCATCAATTCACCATCATAAAATAAGATATACAAAGCAAGAAGATATAACATCACATCTTGATATGTGGACTTTACAACCACCGGTAGAAATAGTTCCATGACATGTGCTTGTACCTTTGAACGGTGTCCTTCCAATCTGGATCTTTTGGTCTTTCCATACTTGTGCTCGTCAAAGAAAATGTGCCTTTCTCAACCTAGATCTTTCAATCAAGTACCACCACATCCTACATTAAGATAGCACAAATCATTAACATGTAGCAATACGATATGAGAAAGCATATAGTTTTACTGATTATATATTTTTGATCTTTTTATAACATGAAGATATCTACAGTGTTGAAATAAACAAAGTGTTGTACTCATAGTGGCCTGTAATCCTACACATGATCAAATAGTTTGCCAACTTTCTATTTTGTGGAATAAAAAGGACGCATAGATTAACTAAATCCCATGAAATGAGGGAACTCAGCAGCTAGAGAAGAGGACTGTGCAGAACTTCGGAGTGCCGAAGTTGGTTAAGTCAGAGTATATCCTAAACAGGCAGAACAAATAGAGCTAGTCCGTGGGATAACTTAACGAGGAAAGTCAAAAGCTACAAATAGTTCCAATTGTAATAATGTGTCCTCTTGGTACTTCTCACAGAATTAGTAAACTACGTTTACCCATACAAACGAGAAGTCCACTACAAATATAGCCGAAAAGGAGAAATGACGATTTTATTCTTGTCATAGATGTTCATGGTGATCGAAGCTGGCCAAGCTTCAGAAAGGATAAGCTCATAACCTGAAAAATATTCTGCTTTACTTATTTTCTCTGAGGCTAAATATTTTCTTAGTACAATAAAAGCAATGTTTAGTGGGTTCAGGTTGTGCTAGCATGACAAAATCTTAGTCATGGACCCAGTCTCACCCATGAAAGTCTTAAGTCATGTTAATGGTTCAACTAATTGATGGACAATAGAAGATGACAAAACCATAAAACTCCATGCAAAAGGTCTCACATGTGGCTCATAGTAAGTATTGTAACATACTCCCTCCTGCAAAAACGTCTTATATTTTGGTACAGAGGTAGTATATATCAATGGTTAGCTCTGCTTAGAAAATTATCCTAGAGGCAACAGGCAAGTGCAGAGTCACAAAAACATGTGATACAAAAAGTTTGACAATGGTAACTCAGTAATGAGTAAAGCAACTATGCCAACAATTTAAAAGGGTCTACATAGGGATCGTAACAATGCTAAGAGCATCTCCAGCCGTTGGAGCCCCCAAGAACACCACCGAACCAAAAAAGTTGGTTCTTGGGGGTCATCCGGCGAAATATGGGGGCATGAGGAGGGAATCTTCCGAGTCACACCCCACCCCAAGCAAAAGTTTGTGAGGAGAATGATTAAGTGGGCCGAGAAAAAGGACACGTGGGGTGATACGATTCGCTGAAACTTCCGCCGGCGCCCCCAAGAGGCCCCCAGCGCGCTGGGTTTCGCCTGGGTTTGCCGGCGGTATTTCAACATCCTGGGGGCGCTGGGGGCGTGACTGGGCCGTTTTTCAGCAAAAAGCGCCGTCCGAGCCCAAAACCGAGCCTAAAAAGGTGTCCTGGGGAGCATCCTGGGGGGAAGGGTATGGATGCTCTAAACTCACAAAACAGGTAGACTCAAAAAATCGGAAGAAAACACTCTGTAATGATATGTTAGCATGAACTCACTCAC